TGCTGCTGCTGCTGCTGCTTCTGCTACCGCCGGCGGAGACAAGCAGGGGCGGCACGGACAAGGGGCACGGGCAGGGGCACGCGCAATCTGGCGGCGACATGACGCCCGCCTCGGTCGCGCGCCGGCCTCGCCCACGCCGTCGGCGACCTGGTCAGCGGCCCGCCGAGCGTCGCCGCCGGCGTCGGCCTCGTGTACGCCCATCCCGTCGCGCGCTTCGAGCTCAACTTCAGCCTGCCGCTCGTCGTGCGGCGGGGCGAGGTCGGCACCAAGGGCGTGCAGGTCGGTGTCGGGATCAACTTTTTGTAGCGCGGTCGGCCACGGGACGCGGGGCGGGCTTGTAGATGTACGAGGCGACGGGCTGTTCAGTGTATGATAGGGATGGATGTAGAGAGGTAGAGACGTATACCACGCCAAGGTTTTGTGTCCTTCATTTCCTGGGGGTTGAAAGCTGTGGTGTGTGTCAACAAGGGATGTTCAGAAACTTGGCCTGGCCGTGACAGATTGGAAGCATCCAGACTGCCTCGAGCTACAGGATACGAGGGATGAAGGTTGGCGCCAGTTGGATCTGTATCATCAGACAACACACGCATGCCAGCATGATCTAATCATCCTCCAACAAGGCAACAGTCCGAGCACGTGGGATCACAGTACAAAATCCAGTCAACAGCCTACCATCACAATGCTCAGACACCTCTCAAATGTTCAAAAGGTCAAAAGAAGACTAGTATTCAGCTACAAACATCCCACCACAAGCCCGTGAAAATGAAAAAGGCCACAGCCAGTATATCGTGACACTGCGGCAGCAACAACGCCAGCCCTATATCCAGCAGCCAGACCATCCGGGCCCGGCTGGCAATGACAAGAAAAGGAGCCCCGTCCTGATTTTTCGAACGGCAAGCAAAACTCATCCTTCCATCCACGTGATCATGGAGTAGCGAACCATCCTGGTCCCTGCAAGCCTTGACCCATGTCGAACGCCGGCGAGCACCTCGCAGGCGGAGAGCAGATTCAGGAGGAACTTAGTCCCAGAAGCTCATCCAGTACCACGAGCTTAGTCCGCTCGCCAGGATGATAAAAGTCACGATACCAGCGCCCGCCCTGTCTGCTGTCGTGATTGGCTCCGGGTCCTGGAACGGGTTGCTGTCCCGGCCGGCGTTGCTGTCTCCCCTCGAGGTACCGCCGGTGTCGTTGGTCGTGGGTGGGTTCGCGCCTGCGATGAGAAGCGAGGAAACGGCGGCCAGGACGTTCATCTGCTCGCCAGCACCAGTGGTCTTGTCGACAGCGGGGTCGATAAACTCGCCCCTGTCCCAGTAGAAGCCGCACACGCGGCCCGAGGCGCCACCAGTGCACTGTCTTATAGCAGCCTGCGTCGAGTTTTGCAGCACGGGTAGAATCTTCGAAGCTGTCCCGGGAACAAGCTGCGTGACAACAGCGAGCCAGCGGTGCATGTATCCCTTGAAGGTCAACATGTCAGCACTGCAACGGCCAGGGTCCCTCTCGCAAGGAACCTCATAAGCAACACCTCTCGGGAAGAAATCGGTAAGGCAGCGGTCCAGCAGCTTCTCGACACGGTCGAGCCACTTGGCGTCTCGGTGTAGTTGTACATGAACGCGGCGCCTGCATCAGCACGACAATGTTGTAGGAGAAGGTGGCCCTTGTTGATGTCGGTGCAGTTGTGCTCGATATGGCCACCGTCGTAGACACGCCAGTTCTCGTGATCGATGTAGTTCACTCCCCAGAGCCAGTCCCACGTCTCTTCGGCGGCCTTGGTGTAGGTATCGTTGCGGGTGTAGCGCGCGAGGCGAGCACCAATGTTGAAGAAGCAGCCGTTGGCAATGGTGTTCTTGTAGTTGTATCCGGCGTTGGTGGAGACGGCCTGCCATCGGAGACCTCCGTTGCAGTGGTCGTCGAACCGATCATTCTGCGTGGACCACACGGCCTGGGCGAGGGCCAGCCACTGGGGTTGGTCCTCGGGGGGGTCAGGGAATTTGTTCTCGGCGGCCAGCATGGCCGTCATGCCCCAGAAGCCCTGGTCGTCGTTTCCGAGCGAGGCCGTGTGGTTGAGGGGCATATAGTCGCGGTTGTCGCCGACCTGGTGCACCATGCCCTCGCGGACGACGTCGTTGTAGCTCGTGTCGCCGGTCAAGTGCCAGTAGTCGACATATGTGCCCATCATGGCACCGCCCTGCCACCAGTAGTAATCACCCTTTCCGTCGGCTGGGGGTCCTGGCAGGATACCGGGGATCATGCCAGTCTTGTTGCCTTCGTAAAACAGCATCATGTCATACGCGAGCGTGCGTGCTGTCTCACGAATTGCATCTGCACGGGTCAGCAAGAGGAGCTCGGACAGTAGAACAGCGTGTCTACACACCATCCGAATCTATGGAGTAGCCCTGAGCCAGAGCGGACGGCAGAGCACTGAGGGCCAATAGCGCCGCTGGGGCGACGGTATGAAGAGAGTTGAACATGATGTGAAGGGAGAATGGAGAATGAAAGCAGTCGAGTGAATGCGCAGGCCTCGACGGCCGTGGGCGAAGGAGGATCGATCAACGAGAAAATGCGAATGATGTGATGATGTCGTCTCTGGGTCGTTCAATCGTCGAGGAAATGCAGATTCAATCGGGCAATAACCGTCGGGTGTGAATGAGTCCGAGTCGCTGTTGGCCCGGAACTCAAGGTGCGTTTGGTATAAATAGGGCCCTCGTCGTGTTGGTGAGTCGCAAGGGTGTCGAGGGAGGAGAGGAGGAAGAACAGGAAGCGAATGGCAGTTGCAGCGTCTGGCTCTGATCAGAGCGACGACAAACAACGGGGGAGCTTTGGGGTGTTGTAGGTTGTGCTGAGGTTGCTTCAACGTGGATGCACCGGGGAAGGAGAGATGTAGGAAGCGGGAGGAAATACAGAAGCGATGGAATAAGATGGGGCGGGCCCCTTTTGCTAAGGTAGTGGCGGCGTGAGTGGTTGCTGCTCTGAGGTACTTGGACTGGGGGGGGGCATGAGCGACACGGGCTACACCTTCAGGCAGACAAACAAAGCCTGATTCAGGGGAAAGAGGGAGCGACACAGACAGGGAAGGGGCAGCAGAAAAGGGCACCCAGAGGCAAGAGGCAGGCAAGAGACAGGGAGATGACGCGGTGGGAAATGCCCAGCACCACGTAAAAGGCATGGTAGAGCCTTGGCATCCCTTGGCGTCTGGGCATCGGGGCTGTGCAGCATTCTATTCGCCAGGACCGCCCATCACGTGGAGCTGCCGGCGTCAAACAGCAGCAAGGCCACTTCGATTGACGATCCACGGCATGGAGAGAGAGACGGCGTGCGCGGTGCTGCTGCGGACGGGGGGGATGTTTGTCGCAGCAGACGTCGTTGAAAGAAGAGTGCGAATACCTCAGGGTCGGACGACGAAATCCCAGCTTCCCCCGCGACGACCCAGATGCGACCCCTCCCCCCCTGGCACTAGCCCCTCGCTAGCCGATACCCTAAGGCACTCGGTACATTCCACAGGGGGTTCCCGCCAGCCTTCGTCCACGAGACAACGACGGGGAGGCGCAAACATGAGCATTCTACAACGTCATCTTCCTCTCGCGCCCTCGTTTCCATGGCGCTTCCATGGCATCCTCAACTCAACGGCCAGGCTGCGCGTCTACGGGAAAGTGCCTTGGATCTCTGATTTTGAAAGGATTGCTCTCGCGGCCCGCCCGCCGAGCCCGCCCCAGCGCTGCGCCCCCAAGACATGACAAGAGACCTCAAACAGTCCAAGTCGTCAGGCCCAACGTCGTACACGAAGTCTCAATCTCGGCTGTCGAAGGCGGTGCTCTTCACAATTCGGGCCGTCCGCCAACCGACACGCCACATTGGGTCCCTTGCTTGTCTCATTGGGGGGGGAGGGAACGTCAAAGTCAAAGTAAAGAGGAGCCATGAGGCAAGCCCGAAGGCCGACCGCAGCTTAACGACACGTAGTGGTGACCACAAACAATTACCTTAACGATTAAACTCACGTACTTCAATGCGCGCTATCCTCGAATGGGGCGGGTTCCCAGTGTGGCCCTGCCTGGGTTGGTATTCAAGTTACTTGTGGAAGGGCGGCCTTACTCCCCTGAACCCCCCCCGTGCACACCGGTCCGAAGCGCACCGCCTCGCACCCTTCTAATCGAATCCTTCCCGTTCCCAGCCCCTGCATATCCACAATCGACAGTCGAGACCCTTGGCCGCCGTCCAATCACGCAACGACGACGCTCACGCGATCTGGAGGAACGGAGCCGCCCCGTGGCCGCTATGAGCATTTCATCTCAAAAAGGGGGGCCGTGAACTCTTACGCATGCTCCGACGGCTGCTCCGCCTCGAATACGAAAATGCGAGCAAGCCGAAGCGGCACTCGGTATTGGAGACCAAACGTTTCGTCACACGCAAAGATAGGCACAGCAAGATAAGTACGGGAAGATTTCATTTTGACTGGCATCTATTACTCGTGTCAAATCCACCGTCTGCAGAAGTTGCAGGACTATGCAAGTCTACGCCCTCTCCTGGGCAACCCAGACGCCGTCATGCCCCTCAGCCCGGTCAACAGAAACGACCGGCGAAGCTGGACATGATAAATAAAAGGAAAACATAGTATGGACAGGATATATGTTGGGGAGACTACAAAACACATTCATGACGTGCCAAGGGGTTGTCTACGCCCGCGTGGCTTTTCCGTCTTTTTCTGTCCACAACAGGACCAGCTTACTCCTGCTTCTTCTTGCCGAAGAGGCCACCCTTCTTGGGCACACGCGCCAGCCAGTACAGACCAAGCGCCGCGAAGATGTTGAAGATGATGAACGCCCAGCCGATGCCGAAGTTTCTCCAGCGGTCGGCGTAGTCAATGTTGAGCGAGTTCAGGAAGGTGTTTGTCTTGTCCATGGTGCACATCTGGCACTCGCTGGTCGAGTTGATGGTGGCGTCGGTGAGGTAACCGCCGAACTGCTCCATCCAGGGACCCAGGTACTCGGAGCACGATTCGCCGGACGGTGGCACAATGCTGAGGAGCTCATTGTCGGCGCAGATAACGTTGGTGTTGGCGACCGCCACCGATAGCATGCCTGCGACAATGTACGTGAACGGTGACACCCGGTACATGAAGATCCAGAAACCGGGGAGCGTATCGGGGTTGGCGAGGACACCACAGAAGATGAGGCAG